CATTACAAGGAATGTTAAAATAACGTCCTCCAGGCAGAGGGAAAATGGTATCAAAAGAAAATCTGGATCTACACAAAGCAATAAAGAGCAAACAGAAATGATTACCACGTGGGTAAATATGAACGACTTTTTAGTTTTAAATCTCTTTAAAAGATCATTAATGCAAAAATAAAAACAATGTATTATGGGATTTATAACATGTGTACAAGTAAAACATATGACAATAGCACAAAGTCCAGCAGGGAAGAAACGGAAGTATATTGTTGTAAGGGCTTATACTCCAGTGCTGTAATAGCACATGAAGGTAGGCTGTGATAAACTAAAAATGTATACTACAAACCCTAAAAAAACTATTCAAATAACACAACAAAGAGTTACAGCAAATAAGCCAACAATGAAGATAAAATGAAATCATTTTTTAAAAATGCAATTTATTCAAAAGCATGAAAATAAAGAGGAAAAGGGAAACAAAGAAGAGCTGAGACAAATGGAAAACAAATAGCAAGATGGTAGATTCAAAGATAATCATATCAATAATCCATTCAATGTAAATGGTCTAAACATCCAAGTTCAAAGACAAGGATTAATAGACTGGATAAAAAAGCAAGACTCAACTCTACAATATCCACAAGAAATTGTGTCTTTCAATATAAAGACACAAACAGGTTAACAGTACAAGAATGGAAAAAAGCATACTATGTTAACCCTAATCAAAAGAGAGCTGAAACGGCTGTATTAATGTCACACAAAATAGATTTCAGAGCAAAGAATATTGCCAGGGATAAAAAATGTCTCCATCATTATCATAATTTTAAAGGGGTGAATCCATTAAGAGGACACAGCAATCCTAAACATTCATGCATCTAATACTAGAGCTTCAAAATACATGAAGCAAAAACTGGCAAGACTTCAAGAAGAAATAAACAAATCCACAATTATAGTAGATTTCAAAACTTTTCTTTCAATAATTGATAAAACAAGCAGTTAGGAAATCAGTAAGGATTCAGAGAACTTGAGTAACATTACAAATCAAACTGCCCTGGCATTTATAGAATACTCCACCCTTACTAGAGTTTACTGTCTAGTTTAATTTTAACATTTTAATTAACTTTTTAAAAATTACATCTTAAGGCTCCTTCCAGCTAAATGATCCTAAGTGGAATTATTTTCATAGAAAAAACACTTTATAACAAACTAAAACTTAAGGTATTTGAACGTATGTCAACAGGTGGCTAAATTATTTAGATAATGCGTGGCCAACGTGACATTTTTGCAGACAGCACAATGTGCCCTGAAACCAGAGCAGTCTCAGAAGAACAGGACAAGTAGACAGTGGGAGGAGTAAGAGCACTTAGGAAGTGAGCACTAGTTACTCTCTTAACTCTTTTAGACATTTGACACTGAATACTTTTCTTTATTATTAAAAATCCTAACTAGATATACAAATTTACTGTTCAGATATAAGAACACTACATTAATCGAAATTTAATTAGTATCACTCATTTATTATTTTACGCAATACAACTGGATATAATTAAGTCATATATAAACTTTTTACTGAGAAATTTTCAACATGGGCTTTGGAATTATTTTTACATCAATATCCAATTAGGAATATGTATTATGATTTATACTTTTATTTCACATTTGTCATTTGTAAGCATTCCTGTTTCACACCGAGAACTGGAGAGGGAAGCCCAGGGTAAATACTAGTAGTATACTTACAAACCCCAAATAAAGGCGTCTCCAAAAAGTACCAGTTTTTAAACAGGGTCCGTTCATCAAGGAACAAAAGAGAACAATCCACTTTCTCTCCTGCAAGATGATGGACTATATGGGACCCAGATGAGAAATACATGGAAATACTAAAAATAAATTCAAGCTGATTTGAAAGGGTATTTCTGATTTAATATCGTAAGCACATTTTTTTTAAATATCTGCAATTTGGGCCTTGCATAACTTATAAGTCACAGAAAAAACTTCAGGATGAAAAAAATAACTAGAAAAATAATTTTAAAATAGAAATTAGTAAAAGTATTGCAAAGTCTGTTGGTTGCAATCGAGAAAAATTTTCCCCCTCAGAAGATTTCAAATAAAGAATTATGCAAAAAATGTCAATCTCCCAGTTGTTTCTTGACTAAGCACAATAAAGAACATTTCAGCAATCATACAAAATCTATTCTTACAAAAAAATCTATTTTATTATCTATTTATTTATCTATTATCTATTCTTAGAAAATTCATTGCTACCTTTAAACTACTTTATTATAGAAAAGTTCAAGCATCTATAGATAATTTATTAAGCTAGATCCTGTTCTATTTTCACCTTGTCAATCATCTCCCCTGGAGAGTCTATTAAACCAAACTGCAAATTGTTTACTAAAAATATGAACATCAAATCCCCAAAAATGTCAGATTCTTCAAAACTGAAGTATCAACAGGCAGCAAAACAATGTTTTGGAAATCATATCCACTGGCATGGCATTAAGGGCTTTAATAAGAATTTGAATAAAAATTATTAAGCACAGATTCTTCATGTATCCTATGGACAACCAAACCATCAATCTGTATCAATTATATTCGACTAAAAATACATGGTCAAAATTTTCCTCATAACCTAATTCCTTCCAGCAAGTGACAGGCTTATAAAATCTACTTACTGGTAATTTTTCAATTGGTATGAAATTTTCCATATTCAAACCTAAGAAGCTATTTCAAAGGAATTCTTTAATAAATGTGTCACACCACACGAGGCATTTAGGTCTAAAGCTATGGTTTATGCCTATGACGCAGCAACAACAGCAATTGGCATATTAAAAAAAAACCTCACAGAACACTTTCATTTTTGAAGCAAAAATATCACCAAATTAATTATTTTACACAGGATTCAATGTATTTTCAATTTACAATTAAAGTGATAATCATCACTAAAAATTATAATAGAAAAATTGTACATATACAGGTAAATTATGCTTTTTCTCATTACTTTATTCCACATTTAACTGTAAGTGATGGGCTGCTGCTGGTTGAATTCACGGGAGCAAATGAGAACAGCCAAAGGTCAGGATCTCCTTGTGAGAGGCAAGGAGAAAGAGGGAAAAATTTCACAGCCTGGAATTTGGTAGTTAAATACATCCTCTATTCTAGTCTTACAAGCTTTTCAGCTAGTAAACCAAAATCCTGTTACACACTAGGATAATATTCATGACAATTCTCTATATTTTATCTTCTTAGAATCAAAGACTCAATTCTAAAGGGTTAATAGAGGAATTACAAAGTAACTCTCTAGTTTGCATTTCCCATAATACTAAAATAAAGCTTTTTCTTTTAGTCCAGAAATTTGCTTTTTTAATACTGTGAAAAGCCTCTATGAATCTGTTTAACGTATTTATTTCTTTTCATCTATTCAGTGCCACTGGGCATAACATGTAATGCAGTGCGTGTTGATATTTTGCAAAGCACCACATGACTCACTGTACCCTAATGCACTCCATTAATCCTGTTTGGACAGCTGGGTCCAGGCATTTGTTAGCTGCATTTTAATTGTTCCATCTTTCTTTTTCGTCTTTTTATTTATCTCTATGGCAAACTACTCAGGAATTTAATTTGTTGATCTTCAAAAAGCAAATTTTGCCATTAATTTGTTTTCTTTGTATTAAAACTACATTCAGCATGCAATTTTCTTCCATAAAATCAGTAAATATTACTATTAACAATTAATCTTAAATAACAGAGTACGGTGAGTTTCATAAATGATAAAATTGTAGAGTGGCTGTAATATCACAGAAATTACTTTTTGGACTGTCATAATACAAAGGATAACATTTAGCTACAAATCAAGTTACTAAACTGCCCATTTTTGGCATTTTCCAGATCAGCCCGCCTTAATCAGATGTCAAACAATACAGGTCCTACAAGGCAGACACAAAAGAAAGAAGACCATGACGCACCCGAGCTTCGCGTTAGTCTGTCAACAGTGGCCCCTTTACAGTCACACTTAGATTTCACTGTTTATAAAAACATGAAATTCTCATAAGAATTATGAAGAGAACTATAAAGCTTATACTTTCTGAGCACAGCCTGCAGCCCTGCTGGCTGTGAGTCTTGAGTAAATAATGGCGGCATAAGAGCTAAAAGAAAAGCAACTCAAACTCACTAGCAGTTTTTGCTACGAGCAAGGTGCTGAGGTTGAAGGACGGGATTTTTCTCATCATTTGTGAACACCCTTAAGTTGAAATCTAAGTTTAGAAAACTGAACAGAACTGTCTAATGGGAATTTTTGTCGAAATAATATTTAGCCAAGAACTGAGAATACAGTCTGCAACAGTGCTTTATGAAAGATAAGAAAGCCAAATGAAGATTTATTCAACTATTTTAATGACAGTGGAAATGTTTTACTTTTAAAAGATAAGCACAATTCTCTGTAAATTGAAAAATTAAGAAAACTATATAAATGACAGGCAAGTAAAAAACTAAAGAACTAAAGGATGTCCTTTAAATCATTGTGTGCACTCAAAGATCTCACTGCTTTCAAGTCCATTTCATGGACACAAAGCAGCTTAAAATAAACTTTACAGATTTTCAATTTTTAAACCATACATTGAATTATACGTTTTTAAAAACATTTCATATAAGAAAAATTAGGTTAATATTTTCTAGACATTAAACATTTCTCTAAAAATCACAATTTCCTAACTACGGGACTCAAAAGCTTAACTAATCAGTGGGGGGAAAAAAGAAGTCCATTGTTTGGAGAAGGAATGTTTTTAAGTATTTAGGAAAAAAAGGGTCTTTATTTGATAAAAGTACTTGTTTAGGTATGGCCCTATACATAAATGCAGTATAGAAGTAAAGGTATAAAATAATGTGGGAGGAAATCTTATATTTCAAACGGTGATTTTTTTTGAAGAAGTTTAAAAACTAAAAGTCAAGGAAGAAGTTTAGAAAAGACATCTTAAAAAGGTATGGACTTCAAATGAAAAATTCTCATTTAAACTTACCCAGTGTTCTTGACATCACAGGCAGTGCAGAGCTCAAGACCAAGATTGACACACAATTCCCAATGATCTGTTATGAGAAATCAGAAAGAATATTGGGCAGTTAAACAACAGGGTGATAAATACAATCCACTCACATTCTGGGAAGTTCCTGTACATTCTAGTTACCTTTTGTATTTCGCTAACTTCTTACTGACACTATTCAATATAGAATTTAGAGAAAATAAGAAACTTTTTCTGTAAACATTTAAAGTTCTTATAAGTTCTAGAAGATATTTACAGTACCTGGCACAAATATACAGTTATAGAACACCTAAATTACACCTCAGACAATGTATTTTACATTATTGATTAATGGTGCCAATTTCAAATAGGTTTCCCTGTGAACTAAAAAAAGGATTAATACATCTAATACTTCTGACTCTATTTTTAAAGCCAGACTTCTGCTCAAGATACATAATATCTACTTCTCATATGTTTAACTATTATAAGATTTAATACCAAAAAGCTAGAAAGCCAAAACACTCAAATTCTAGTCATTCATTTTCAATGTAACCTATGCATATCTTTCATATTAAATAAAAGGAGCTGAAAATATTAATTAACATGTATGATCATAAACTAGATGCTAATTATCTCAAGAAGTCATAGCATTTTATAGACAGACAGATAAGATAGATAAAATAACTTCTCCGTTTTAAGAGAGGCTGAAAATATGGAATATACAATAAAAAGAAAAGAAGTCAGCAGCTCTTATTAGTTACTCTTCATTGTCAGCCTCTGGGAATATTCTACAAAGACGTCACTATACAAAATAACAGCCTTTGCTAATTCCGAAGCCAATGACATACTGTAGAAAGTCAAATTAGCCTCAGACTACAAAATGTTTCTGAATAAAACTCTTCCGTCTTGCTTTAATTATTCAAATTTGAAATACTTTGTCTCTACTACTTGTAGCAACCAAGTTCTTCAGATTTCAAACAAGCCCCCGAAGGACAGTTAGTGCAATCAAAGTTACTCATTAGCAATACGTTTTCTTTAGAGGAGAAAGAGTCCTTTCAGAAGCCTTCTACAGCTAGTTAACAAGCTGCAGTTCTGTGTATTTACAAGTGAATGGATGCCGTCCAAATTAAACAGAGCACATCCTTTTCCCACTCATTCAGCATTTTGAAAATCTTCCAGTTTGTGTTTATGCAACTTACAAACAAATACCTATCACGGCAAATAACCATTCAGGGCGATTACTAAATAAAACAGTTCGTTTGTCTTGGAAGGCAAAAAGGAGGCAGGGTCACCTAAAGACTTTACCTTACCTTTGTCATAGTTGTGTCATCCTTCTTGGGAATAAAGTTCCCAAAAAATCGGAGGCTATAGAAACCGACAACAGAGGACACCATAAGATAGCTGTGAGAATCAAGGAAAAACTCTCCACAGAATGGCAGTTTCCTCAAGTTCTCAGTAGTCTCCAAAGTCTTAAGGCCCCAAGGAAAAACAAAGCAAAACAAAACAAAACAAAAAGCCACTCGGAGTGCTTGAGGAAGACTGACTTGTTTTTTCTTCCGGGCAAGTGTCTTAGTAAATTACCTCTGTCCCAAAAAACTAGACAGAAAACTTGTTAACAGACCGAATGTTCAGTTAAAGAAAGGATACAAAATCAAAATGATTTCAAGTGCAGCTCCCACAAAACCAAAAGCAGAAAGAGAAGCATTTCCTATTCCAGGTCCCTGAGGGGAAAAAAACACTTTTCAGAATTCAATGACACCATTATATTTGGTTTCCCTAAAATTGTTGTTTCATAAATATTGGACAGTTGAAATTAGGAATGTTTAATACCCTGGAATAACATCTAGACTTTCGAAGGACAATAAAACATGTCACTACTGAGTGCATCAACTAATTCCAACCACACTAACAATTTTAACAAGCTTAAAACATTTCTGATTTATCTCAAATGTAATTTAAGTTACTTATCAAAATGATATGATGCTTGTTGTTAAATCCTGAATATTCTTGGAAGAAATTTTTTTTAAATATAATAGTACAACAGGAATAGAAGATTTAATTATCTGAGCTCTCAGGTAACCTAAAAAAATTATACAATTAAAGTAGGTCAAAAGTATGCTAAGCAGAGAAAGTGAATGTGCACATCCTGTTTCTAAACTTGAAAGTTTCCTTTCCCCAATCTTCCTCGGGAATTCAGACTTTTAAAAGATATAACTTAACTAACACAGATTCTTTAAAATGTAATGCTATAAACTTTTTCCTAAACAGTATACCTATTCTCAAAACGTATCTTTACCTAAAACTTAAAAAAAAAACAGAAAAAGTAATATTTATTAATGAGACTAGATAGGCAAAAAAACATTTCTTATTTAAGGAGGAACAATATTTTCAGAGGTTACTGATTAAACGAATTATCTGAATATGAACTACTACTTTACTATCAGTTTTGATTACGTGTAACAGAAATACTAGGATAATTAAGAATGTGTAGTCAGCCTAATAAAAAATAAACCAATAAACAATATCATACATATTATATACACATTCTAATGTAAGCGTAATAGAAAGTTTATTGACCAAGATGGAAAACGTTTTAGAAACATTCCCTGTCTCAAGAGAAGGCCTACAGGCAGGAGTAAGATCATCTGACTTCAGACAGTCATACAAGGAGCCTACAGGTACAAGCCCCTCTCTACTATGCACTAAGGGGATGGTACAGAAATGTACCATGGGGCTTGGGACTTACCCAGTGTGGAGTATGTGAAAATGGGTTAAAAATGGGTAGAAGGCAACACAGTAGGTGACTTCCTGTTCTATCAATGGATTTGGGTCTAAACGAAAGACAAAGACCAGGCTGTAGACAGAGGAGGACTGTTAATTACTGTTGCTGTCTGTCAGTGGAATGGGGCACCTGGAGCAAACAGGGAGGCTCACACTGGTGGACAGACAATGGCAGTAACAGATGGTACAAGGTCATGGAAGGGGGGGTGGGGGGCGGGGGGGACAGTTTAAACTGAGAATATGGCTAAAGGAATTAGCTTTTGAAAGAAGAGAGTATCTTCATCTTGGACTGAAGGGAAGGAATTAAGATAGATATTGGCTTTTTATATGAGAGAAAAGGTACAACATCTGGTTCAGAGAGACAAGTGGTATCAGAAGTCTGGAAGAGGTGAAGTCATTTCTATGAGGGATGGGAAAGCCGCTGACTTAGAAAAATATAATGAAATGTCAAAACTTAAATGCCACTTTAAGTATCTGAAACTTTACAGAGATACCTAGAAAAAGTATGCCAAATATGGATATTTAGTGGTAACTATCTTATGGAGAATATATTCAGATAGGCTAATTGATGGAATTTAATAAAATCATCAATTTTGAAACAAGAGAGAAAACTAAGTTAATTCATGAAAAGAGTACATCTGACTCTCCTCCAGTAACTGAACATTTTGCCTTAGTTTCATAAAAGGTGTCACTTTTAAAGCATGAGTCCCTACAACCACACATTTGGATGTTTTTCAAACCCAACGAATCCATCTAATAATAAACTCTTTATGTGTCACTATTTCACAGAGTATACATTTTCTTAAAGAATCACAAATATACATTTCAGCAAAACAAAGATAAACTCTGATACGAAATATAAAAGGAAACTCTATACTTGATAAAAGGCCTGGCCAATTCAAAGTAAGAAATCAGAAACAAAAATCATGGCTTATAAACACTGTTTATGAAGGCTCAGTGTATAAACAAATTCAAAGAACTTGAAGAATATACATGCAGAGAAGTGAATGTTTTAATCTACTTATTGAAACACTCAGGGTATCTACACAGAATACTTTTGGAAAAGAAAGGCATTTAAAGCGTTTTACTTTACCCTTGTTCCTTTTGGCATTGCTGTTTCATCAACCAACAGGCAAAGAATATTACAAGCCACCAAGAGGACTGAGATGGACTACAACACAAAAAGTAAGCTATCAGTTCTGAATTTCAAAGACATTAAAATCTAAGTAACCAACCAAATGTATGCTTCAGAATAGAAGAAAAGCAGTCAAGACCAAAACTATACATATAAATCTAAAGTAAACAGACTATCTACAAAGACTCCAGAATAAATTCTAAAAGATTCCACAAATTATTATAATTTCAAAGCTGTGACAAAAGCTAATAACATAGATCCATTTCCTAACAGATTTCAGCAACTGGAAACCCACAACTCAACAGATTTAAAAAGTTAAAATGTTATCAGAACTAATTTAATAATGTAATTTTCATATCCTATCACAGATTATGAAGCAGAGTATCTACAACACCCTGTCTCTTAATTTTCCATTAAACAGAAGAATGAATTTCCTGCTTTCATGAGGAAATAGATAATCTTGAGGACTTTTAAAAATTACCACTAATTTCTGTTTTGGCTCTATTGAGTTTTTACAAATAAAGGCATAGATGGATTTTAATCCTGTGGAGAGAAAACCAGTTTACTTGAAACCATTTAGCTGAGGGAGTTGCCATATTCAAATGCTAAAGCAAATACAAAATAACTTCTTTCTTTAACTAGGCAAATAGAGTCTTACTGTCTCAATAAGGAGGAGAACCATGACAGCAGGATACACCAAGTTTCTTTCCCATGCTGAAGCCTTTTTTCGTCTCTCTATTAGAAGGAAAAACAAAATACAACAAAAGACTTCAGTAATTTCCAAAAATTCTGTCCAGATTCACATTTTCATTCCTTACTGCTCTACAGTATGTATTATTTTTTCGTAATTTCTTTTTGAAAAAACATAATTTTTAATTTTCCTCTACAAAATACAAAAATCAGAGTTTTAAAATCAGTTTGCTACACTAAACAGCTCAATCCTGTGATGTTTAAATTTTAGCTCCATAAAGACATTTCAATTGTTAATGAAAAATATTGTTAACACACGCTTACTCTGAAAATGCGGAAATATCTGTATTTGATATAGATTTGAATAAATAAAGTAACATGAGTAAAAACCCGTCTAATCCCATATCCCAAAGACAAACACCTCCAGTTTTCTGAAGGCTGGAAGCAAACTTCCACTTCTAGCTCCAAGGGTCTACCTCCTATCACCCAATCCTCATGCCATAAACAACTGGAAAAGATGGATCACACAATTTTTTTTAAAAAACCTGTATGAAGGTTATCAGAGAGCTCCCACGATGACCAAAATTGAGGGGCCAATATTCTGTGAAATAAATTGAACTGAGCCTCTGACTTGCACTACCTTTCCTTGCATGGCATTTTCCATATGCAACTGGCCTGGACCCACAAGTCTGAGAAATCAAGATGAAATCACCGGGTAAAAGAAAACGATGCTAAAACACAGCTTTCAGCAAACTCAAAGAGCCAGGGAGGCAAAAATCAGAGTTTGGAGCCAGCAAGGCAGCCAGAATTTAGGAGTCTATGATCACAGGGAAAAGGAAAGAGGAAAGAACTAAGCCTGACATGCAGCCACTTTGCCCTTCAAGGCATCAGTGGCTCAGAGGCTGAGAAGAGGAACAGAAGGTACTGCCAAGAGGCAGAGATGCGAAACAAAGCTTCATCAGGCTCACGTCTCTTGAGAGGCAGAAACCAGAGTTCAGGATGCACGAGGAAGATGGGGTCATAGACAACAACAAAACAACCATGCTTTTGGTTAGGACCAAGGAAAAGCTATACTCTAGGAGTAAGGCCAAACTGGAAACAGAGCAGCCCTCATAAAGACCAAAACCTAATCTCAAACAATCCAAGTGCAGACCGATTAAACTGACCTGTCCCCACTCCAACTGCCGACCCGAAGCAAAAGGAAATCGTCCCAAAAGAGAAGAAAACATCACCCAGAGTTTCCACAATTTTGCACAAGAAATGTCTGGCATTCAATCAAACATTACCAAGAGAGAGAACAAAGGAAAAAAAAACAATAGAAACACACTTTCAATTGATCCAGATATTGGACTTACCAGAAATAGCCCTTAAAATAGCTGATTAAAATGTTCAGTAAGATAACTGGCAAGATGGCAAATGTCACAATTTGAATCTAGAAAAATAATCAAATGGAAATTCTAGAACTGAAAAATACTGTAACCAAAATTAAGAGTTCAATAGATGTGTTTTTTGAGGAAGATTAGCCCTGAGCTAACATTTGCTGCCAGTCCTCCTCTTTTTGCTGAGGAAGACTGGCCCTGAGCTAACATCCGTGCCCATCTTCCTCTATTTTATACATGGGACACCTACCACAGCATAGCTTGACAAGCGGTGAGTATGTCCATGCCCAGAATCCAAACCAGTGAACCCCGAGCTGCCTAAGAGGAGCGTGCGAACTTAACTGCCACGCCACCAGGCCGGCCCCTCAATAGATAATTTTGACAACAATTATGACATAGCTGAAAAGACTGTGAAATCAAAGACAGATCAGTAGAAAATATCACAGAGCAAAGCACATAAATAAAAAAGGAGGGAAAATACAGAAAAGAATGTAAGAGTAAAAGGTCTAGCATATCTGTACCCAGTGTGAGGAAAGGAGAGAGAGCAGGTAGAAGCAAAATTTGAGGAGACAAAGGCCAACAATCTCCCAAATGGATGAAAGACAGTAAGCCACCCACTCATGCAGTGCCACAGTCTCAAGAAGGACAAATGAGAAGAAAACAGAACCTGAGCACACTGCGGTAACACTGCTAAACAAAGACAAAATGAAAATCTGAAAAGCCTTTCCAAAGGGCAACAATGTAACTTTTAACCAGAAACCGGAAGACACTGGAACAATATCTTTACAATGTTAAACTACCAAGTAAGAATTCTAAATTCTGTAAAAATACCCTACAAATGAGAAGGTAAAGCCAAAATGTTTTCAGATAAACAAAAATTGAGAGAATTCAATGCCAGCAAACCAGTACTAAATGAAATACTAACAGATGTTTTTCAAGCAGAAGCTAAAGGAACACAGGAAACACAAATCAGGGACATAAAAATTAAAACACCAATGAAAACTATTCCACATCTACTAAATTGGTAAAAACTTAGACGTCCAACACTGTCAATTATTGACAATGATGTGGAGGAACAGGAAGTCTTACTCCTGCCTAGCAGGAATGCAAAATAATACAACTACCGGGGAAAGTGGTTTGCCATTATCTCAAAAAAGCCGTACATGCACATACGCAATGAACTTGTAGGTATGTATCCTGAAAAAACATATGTACCAAGAGATATGTAGAAATGTCTATAGCAATATTATTCATAATAGAAAAAGACTGGAAATATATCAAACATCCATCAACAGCAGGATGAATAAAGTAACTTTAGGCAATATAATGTTGTTTACAAAAATTAAAATGAATGAACATACACGATTTTCAACAACATAATACTGAACTTGCACTCCTGAAGACAGAATTTAACAAAAGGGACCAGATTTACTGTCCAACCTGAAACAAGTAAGAAACAAAAAACACATGTACATGAAACAACATTTTTCAAGACACTGCACATCTGATCAATGAAGGACAATAATCTCTCAGACATGGGAAACAAACAATGCAAGCCCTGTGTTTGCCCCAGGTTACTGTCTTGAGTTTCCAGGCCATGGTGCAAGGAGGAGGAACCCAAGCAGAGCTCAGCTCAGCCTTGAGTTGAGGACATGAAATGTGAGTCTGGGGAGACCAAGTCAGCTGGATTTTGCAGAGCAAAGTGCCTGAGAGGAGACTGCTACACAGAGAAAGAACTCCAAGCACCTGTAAAGGGTTACCTTGGAGTCCAGTAGGGTAATGATCAGCTCAGGAATGTGAGGAAACAACCCAAGGCTGAAGAGAGAACCACCCAAAAAAGATTAGAGATAACAGTATCCAATAATCACAAAGGGCCAAGAATAGTGCTGCTCCCACAAGACAGTACCAAAACCTCATAAACCACAGGATAAAGGACTCAGAAGGGTCTTGCCTCAGTAGTGGAGAACACTTCAGCCCTAGATGAAATGCTGCTCTGGTCCAGCCTAACAAGTCTTCAAAGCAAGACCTGATATTATTAAACTCTTTCTAAGTAACTCAACTGTATCCCACTTATAGCAACACAGGTGTCAGCGCCCAATAATGTAAGATTCACAATGTCTACTATCCAATCAAAAATTGCCAGGCATACAAAAAGGCACAGAAACACAACCAACGCTGAGGAAAAAAAGTCAATCAATTGAAAATTTCTGAGAGCTAACGTAGATGTTAGAATTAGCAGACAAAAACATTAAAAGTATTATTATAACTGTATTCCATTATTTTCAAAAAGGTGGAGGACATGAATCGAACATGTTAATTAGAGACACAGAAGATATAAAACAGGTCAAAATAGAATGTCTCAAGATAAAAACTGCAGTGTCCAAGAGAAAAATACACTAGATGGGATTAAAGGCAGACTAGACACTCAGAAGAAAAGATTAGTGAATGTGAAGACACAGCAAGAGAAACTATCCAAAATGAAACACACAGAGAAAAACCAGGAAAATGAAGGACCATCCCTGAGCTATGGGGCACTGTCAAGTGGGCTAAGTTCACCTTCAGTGGACTCCACACGTAACTGGAGTCCCCGAAAAGGAGGGCACAGAGAGGAGAAGAAAATATATTCAAAGAAGTAAAGGCCAAAAATTTTCCAAATTACATAAAAACTATAAATTCCCAGATCCAAGAGACTCAATGAACCCAAAGAATAAGAAACACAAAGAAAACTACTCTGAGGCACATCAAAATCAAATTGTTCAAAATCAGTGATAAAAATCAGTGATAAAAAAAAAGTGTTCAAAATCAGGACATTTTAAAAACAGAGAAAAAAGACATACTAAAAGATAAGGATGACAGAAGATTAGCGTCAGGAAATAAGGCAAGTGAAAGACAGTGGAGCAACATCTTTGAACATCATCATCTGAAGTCATTTTGCACACATACGAAACAAACAAAAAAATGAGAATATATGCTTATCCTCTCCCCAAACTAAAAGACAGTCCTTATCAATGGCTTTGAACAGACTGAAAGCTTATAACATAAGCTAAAGATTTCAAACATTTTTGAATGTTTCAGACTATAGTAAAGTCTTTAATAAGAAACCAAGACTAATACACAAGTCAAGAAAAAAATTTACAATACCTAATTTTGTCTTAAGAGTCTTTACATTTTCAAGTTCTTGTTCCAACTCCATTACATTATATTCCACCGCTGAAGACATTCCTATCGAAAGCAAAAATATTTTAGAAGTATAACAACAGAAACCCTACCAGCAGAGAACAGGTAGCCTCACATTTAACTAAAATATAAAATAACACATTACAAATCCTGATCATTAAGAATAAAAACAAATGCTGCTGCAATTCACAGAAAAGTATACCCGTTTCTTCACCACTTAAAACTTCCAAGTTCCTGCTGATTAAACACCATATGTTTCCTAGAAAATGTCTTACTTTGGTAAAATCCCTATTTAATCTATTATTAATTTTTATTAATTACAAAAGTTTCATGCACTTCTTATAGAAAGTGAAAAAAATCAAGATCTCCTCTTTTCCATCCCTCCGCCCTCAAGTGGCAATTGTTAACAGCTTGGTTGATGCTTTCACACCTTTCTTCATATTCATGTACATATTCCCACACACATATATATATCACATATATGGTTTTTATTAAACATTTTCTAAGAATGGTTCAAATTATTTTACTACTTGCTTTCCTAGTCAATGATACATCCACATTGACAGATAGTGCCAACTCTTTAACAGCTGAATGATATTCCATGGTATGGATGTACTTCAATTTTATTCAGAATTATTCCATTTATTAATATTCAGGTTTTCCTCAATGTTTTTGCCACTATAAACAATGTTGCAATAAACATTTTAGTATACACATCCACGACATCCTGGTTCCCATAGAACAGATTCCCAAAATTCAGATTGCTGAGGTAAACAGTAAGTCTTGACAGTTTTAAGAGATATTTAAAGGTTATTTCCCCCAAAATATTATAATTTATTATAAGAAATTATTGTAATAATTTACATTTCTATCAATAGCTTTTGAAAGTACTTTCCAATATCTTCTCTAGTACTGATGATTATAACTCCTGAATTTTTCCCAAATATGAGTAAAAAATGTTTTCCTATTCTTAGTTTAACATGTATTTCCCTAAACTTGGTTAAGCATCTTTTCATATGTTTATTTATCACATGGATTTTCTCTATTCCTATTTTCTGCTTGTTTCTCTAATATTCTATTTGTATATCTCCATATTCTATTTTATCTGTTGAATTCTGAAATGGATAAATTTAAACCCCCCACTACAACTGTACTTTGACTGATCAAGCTCTCTCAGTTTTCAAGAGTTTTTCCATTATGTGTTTGCATTCGTCTGCTAAGTTTTTTGGGTTCCCATAAGACTGTTACATCTTCCTTATGAATCATACCTTTTATCATTACATAATGACCCTCTTTGTCTTTGATGCTTTTCAACTTCAATATTGTTTTGTGGACATTAAGTTCTACTTTTTTTTGTTTTTCCCTGTTTTACTTACTTACATATGAGACAAAAAAAGATTAAAATTAAAGGGATATATATATATATATATATATATATATATATATCAGCTAAATCTTATTTGAGGTTTCACTTCTATCAGTTAGAGTTCATTGGTTATAAGCAACTGAAACTGACTCTGACTAGTTAAAAAGAAAAGGAATTCCTGAGAGAGACGGCATCAGCAGGAAACCTTCCAGGAAAGAAAGGAGAGAAACGAGGCAGTCGGGAGCTCCAAGTGGCAGCCACAGATGGACAGTCTCCTCCCAGTGTCACAGCTGGGATGAATCAGTCTTAACTATTTTCAGTCTTTATATCACTATGATCAAGAATAGAATTCCAGGGAGCAAGTGTCCTAATGGCCTAGCTTGGAGCCACAGGTCAATTCCTTGGCTGGGGGAGGCAGAGAACTTTGACAAGCAGTTCTACAGACCTGACTGAATAGGGGGAAACAGCAAGGCCAAATCAGGTGCTTTACTAGAAGAAAAGCAATAGGTGCTTGTAGCAAAAATTATAAATATGTGTTGAATACCCCAATCTGATAGGCTCTGTTCTTTAACAGTGGAATTGAGCCCATTTACATTTAGTAAAATACAGTATTTGCTTCCCTTGTATTTCTTGATTTTCTAGCTTTAGGTGTTAACTATTACCTTCCTGCAACGGAAGATGAGGATTTAAGTCTGTAAGCCACACATCTTTTCATTCCTCCCTTTCTCCCAGTATGGTCACACTGGTAATTTTGGTTGGATCAATATTCAAAGTCTACATTACTACAACAGAAATTCGATTCACTGCTTACTCAAGGAATAAACGATAATTAGCTTTCCTTTCTTCCATAACATTCTTCTTCCCACCTCTAGAAATTAGTCATTTTTTTCATATGCTTAGTTTTCTACGGACTTATCACTAGTTCAAAGCCAAACTTTCCTCCCAAATGTCTCTATTTTCTCCTGGTTTTCAAATTCTTTTTTTCTTTTTTATCTCCCCAAATCCCCCCTGGTACATAGTTGTATATCTTAGTTGCAGGTCCTTCTAGTTGTGGCATGTGGGACGCCGCCTCAATGTGGCCTGATGAGTGGTGCCATGTCTGCGCCCAGGATCCGAACCAGCGAAACTCTGGGCCGCCGCAGCAGAGCTCGTGAACTTAACCACTTGGCCACGGGGCCGGCCCCTCAAATTCTTCAGTAATACTATCCACTTGATTTTCCTGAGGAATTTCCTCCTGGAGTGCATGGGCCTGCCCCAGCCTGGACTCGCTGCTCTCTATGCCTAACACCACTGTCGCCCTGGAGACCCCCTTTTCTTCTCTCCTGGGGGCACCCCTTCTTTCCCGGGTAGCCACGTCTTTTCTTTCTTGGTTATTCCTCTACTTAAGTGGTGCATGTCCTCCAGTAGCTTGCTAAGAAAAGGTGAATGGGAGGTAATTTTTTTGACTACACAAGTCTGAATATTTTACCTTTGCTCTCAAAGTTTGGTTAAATATAGAAATCCACATCAAAACTACACATCCTTCTGAATTGTGAAGTCATTGCTCCACTGTCTTCCAGCTTTTAGTGCTGATTTTGAGATGTCTGACACTCTTCTGCTCCCTGTCCCTTTGGGTATGAACTCCTCATTCTCCCTATGGGCTGTGAAGGACCTCTGTCCCCACTGCTCCTGGGGAGAGTCATTTCCATGTATTATGTTGGGCATTAGGTGAGCCCTTTCAACCTCCAAATTCATGTCCTTCAGATCAGAGTAACTATCTTCATTTTGTCATTTCCTCCATCCCATTTTTTCTCCTCTCCCCATTTGGAATTCCTATTAGTTAGATATTAGATCTCCTGAATTGGTTCTCTAATATTCTTAAATCTTTTCCCCTATTTTTGTCTTTTTGACCTATTTTCTGAAGAGTTCTTCTTTATCTTATTATTTCTAAATTTCAAGAATCCCTTTCTAGGGGCCACCCCACGGAGTGGTTAAGTTGATGCACTCTGCTTTGGTGGCCCAGGGTTTTGCCAGTTTGGATCCTGGGCACGGACATGGCACCACTCATCAGGCCATGCTGAGGCAGCATCCCACACAGCACAACCAGAAGGACCTACAACTAGAATATATAACTATGTACTGGGGGGCTTTGGGAGAAGAAGAAGAAAAAAAAAAAAGATTGGTAACAGATGTTAGTTCAGGGGGGAAAAAAAAAAGAACCCCTTTCTGGGGTTGGCCTGGTGGTGCAGTGGTTAGGTTCACACACTCCACTTCTGCAGTCCAAGGTTTGCAGATTTGGATCCCAGGCACAAACCTGGCACTGCTTGTCAAGCCACACTGTGGCAGCATCCCACACAAAATAGAGGAGGATTGGCACAGATGTTAGCTCAGCAACAATCTTCCTCAAGCAAAAAGAGGAAGATGGGCAACAGATCTTAGCTCAGCGCCAATATTCCAGACAACAAAAAAAAAAGAATCCCTTTCTGTTCATTTTTGTGGAATCCCAGCCTTTCTCACAAATGCGATCTTGGTCTCTCTCGAGACACTATCGATATTTACTTTTAGACAATCAGCCCCCAAGCACATGCTGCCTCTCGAGAACACTCGCTCTCCCCGACCTTCGCTCTGGCCCCTCCTTTCCCAGGGAGGCTGTCCGCAGCAGCCTGGTGAGCCCTCGCTGTCTGCTCACAGCTAAGAATGAAGCACTAAAACTGCTGATTGGAAACTCAAGATTGTGTGGGTGGAGCGTGATGACAGCGAGACTTCCTGTCAGACAATCCAGCCCGGTTTTCCAGGGCAGACACCCTATCGCTGCTATCCATGGGGCTTTCCTCCTGGCTACACAGATTCCCCAGAGAGGGCTCTCCTTGGTATTACAGCTCAGCTGTCCATGTGAAGGGAGATGAGAGCCCATGCGATGGTCTGAAAGCACTCACACACCAAACTGCTTCAAACAGGCTTTCAGCCAGTCCTCCTCATCTTAACTCGCGTCACCTCTTCCCCACCTCCATAGCTATCTGGTGGGGCCACTTTCTGAGACTTTTGGGGATTCTGGGATATAAATAAAGCACAAATGGCTCAGGATTCAGCTTCTTTAGATCTGCTAAATTGGTTACTTCTAAAATTTTCTCAGGTCTACTAAACTCCAAGATTTTATTGTGGTTTTCTCCTCTCAGATTCTCATTCTTTTAGGTTTATGCTTCTCTGAACCTCAGTGTTCTCATCTGTGAAATGAGGTCTATCTATTAGGATGCTTCTTAATGAATCAGAAAACTCAACTTGAAGTAGCTTAAAAAAATAAGGAAATAATTTCATGTAAATTGGAAGTTTACACACAGAGCGGGCTTCCAAGTGGGTTTTCTAGCAGCTCAATAGTGACATCCAGGGACCAAATCCTGCCATCCACTAGTTGGCTTATTATGAAGACTGGTGCTCTTTCCCCTTTCATGTAATATTATAATTTCTGCTTCTTTTATTTTGCTATTTCTTCTTTTCCCAACTGGTGGGATTTCTGTTTATTCTTTTTCCCCATGTTAATCTGGCACTTTAGTGGTTACTTTCTCATCCTCAACACTCAGATGAGACATATTTTCTTCTACTTAACACAGTCATGACCCCACAGGGATGCCTTACTGGGTAACTTACCCGACACGTGGGTGAAGTTTTCACACACTTATCTATCCATTCTCTCACTGCTTTC